ATTTTTTTTTTTCTTTTTTTTTTTTTTTTTTTTTTTTTTTTGCTCAATCCTCAATCACTATTCTTCATGGGCGTCACATTTGTACAGCCCTGGCCCCTAATTCCCCTGCACAGACTGTGATCTGTGAACTGTGTTATGGGATCTACTCAGACAGCAATGTAATGGCAGATCTATAGAAGGATGTAATTATTTGATAAAGAATTTTTAAAAAAAATATTTTTCAAAGGAAATAATTCAGTTTGTGTTTGAGCCAGAAACAGTGGCGTAGCTAGGGGAGGGGGAAGGGGGTCCAAATTCGAAAGTCCTCCCGGGCCCCTACTTGACAGGGGCCCCCAAAGGCGTGTCCGAAAAAAAATAATATTAAATAATGTCGAATGTCAAAATGCAGGGGTCCCTAAAGAGGCCAAGCCGCCCGGACCCCCAAATCCCTAGCTACGCCCCTGGCTAGAAAGTTGACACAAACGCTCTCACGTGTATGAAAAGAATGCGGTTGAGTGACACGCGGGCATTCCTTTTTGTTTGTTTGTGTGTTATTAAAGGGAGTCTCAAGGTGAATGAGTAATTGGTCTGAGTATAAATATACCGACGGACATCATTATTTTGTCGGGATACGATTGCTTGTAGCTGAGTGTTCGGGTCTGATGATGGGAACATTTGACTCTGGTCTGCATTATCTGACCTAACATTGACACGGCCCACTGGTCTGCATTATCTGACCTAACATTGACACGGCCCACTGGTCTGCATTATCTGACCTAACATTGACACGGCCCACTGGTCTGCATTATCTGACCTAACATTGACACGGCCCACTGGTCTGCATTATCTGACCTAACATTGACATGGCACACCGCCACCGGGTGAGTTGGCCTTTCATACTAACGGACCCGCCTGCAAATCCGTTTGTTGTCCCTGAAAGTAGGGGGGGGGGACTCTGTGATGCGTTGGACAAGTCATTGTCATATTCCACAACAAAGGCTGCGGCTGGTGGTGGTTGTTGAGCTACTCACATTGCTCTTAAATCGTTTCTTCTGGAGATTTTTTTTTCTTTCTCATTTCAATAATAAAATAAGATAACCTCGAATGTCAAACACCGACGTGACGGAAGGAATGGAAAATGACGTAATTAAATAGATTTATTTTTTTATTTTTGATGGGTTTTTCATGAAATTATGTACACATACACACACACACACACATATATATATATATATATATATATATATATATATATATATATATATATATTATTTGTGTAAGTTAGCAAAGTTCCACTACTCCATGATTAAATTTTCATTCATGGCCAGGAGTTGCAGATCCTACGCCATGAGCTGGAAGAGACCAAGGAACAGATTCAGAGCGATGGTTCCATTCCTGAGTCTAACTCCGACAGAGCCCGGAAAAACTGGTGAGTTCAAGCCAGGTGCTTGTGGATGGCACAATGGTGGATGTGTGGATCGGTGGATAAAAGGTGAATGGTTGGATGTGTGGATTCCGATTAAGAGAAGACTGGCTGTGAACGTTTGTAGCGTATTTTCCATTTAATTAATGGATTCAGGCATGTACTCTTGGGATTTAGGTATGGATAAATTGACAGATGTATGGTTAAGTTGACAGATGTGTGGATAAATTGACATATGTGCTGATAAATTGACACATTTATTGATATGTTGATAGATTCATAGATAAATTGAAAGATGTATGGATAAATTGCAAAATTTATGGATAAATTGACCAACTTATGGATAAATTGACCAACTTATGGATGGACTCATCGTTAAGGAAGAAACGAAATCATGGGTTGGATGTCTGAATTACTAAGTTGATGTGTTCTATAATACAAAATGTTTAAAAATGGCTAAAAAAAATCGAACTTGATAAACTCCTTTTGAATGGGACATAAGAATCCATGCATGATAGAACAGTTCTTGGTGGGTATCTTGTAGTGCAAATTAATATTAGATTAGATTCACACATGAGCGGCGTCCAAATGTGAAACTGAGCTATCTCTTAGTGATGAATATGATTCAAACAGTTTGATCTTGCATTCAGTTGACTCCGTTCTCTATTTCCGGCTAGCAGTAGTTGTTAGGGGGGGGGGGGGGGGGGTTACAAGGCTACGCAAACCACCCAGCGCCTTCTTGAAATGTTTTGTTTTGGCGATTGGGGACGTAATCCGCCATTGAAGCTGAGGCGTAGCGAGGGTGTTTGAGATAATATTTGCGCCCGGGGACAAGATCCATTTTAAAGCCCCCCTTTTTCTTTTTTTCAACTCTCAAAACAATTATTTTCATCAATAAAATAATATTAAAGCACATTTTGGCACCCCTAACTCGCTGGCGACCGGGGAATCTGTCCCCCCTGCCCCCCCCCCGCTACGCCTCTGCATTGAAGGTTTAAGTTCCAAGATAACGTCTCCGACCGACTTAACGATCCGATGGTTATTTGATTCAAACGTATTTGACATGGTTTACGTCAGCCCTTATGGGGGGAAGGTAAATGTTGGGGGGAGGGGTGGTGTCGTAGGAGGGGAGATGGTAGAGTTTACCTGTGCAACACGCTTGAACAGTGGTTTTTTTCAACCCGGGGATTCCGCGAAAACTAAGAATTAAGGGGTTCTGTGAGCGCCAGCCTAGGCCAAGGGTTCCGCAAAATGGCCAGCGAAAATATATTTTATATATATATATATATATATATATATTTAAATGGCTTGAAATCATGAACACCGGTGTAAGGTATGTAACGGTGTTGCGGCCAGGGGGTGGGGGTTGTGGGAGGGTGGGGGGGGGGAGTACGACTCCGTGAAGGCAATGTTTCCTGAATGACTGTATACATTTTTCTTGAATTCAACTTTTTAACACTCTAGGAGTAAAACAATTTTTTTTTAAAAATTAATCACCCCAAGACATCAGCTACTCACGTGTTTACCGATGTGCTGTCATGCGTGACGCGGAGTCTTCGTTCGGTAATAATTCCCTTCCATCAAGTCAGGTCAATTTTTGAAAGAGATTGTAAAAAAAGCATCTTTTTTTTTTTTTTCTAGCAATATCGACGTTTTATTTAGAAACATCAAGTTGCCAGATTTTAGACGACTGTTTCATTGTAATGTTTCTTTACATTCCTTCGTGTGTTGTTTTTTTTTTTTTTGGGCTGTTAATACATATATATATATATATATATATAAATATATAGAAACATCAAGTTGCCAGATTTTAGACGACTGTTTCATTGTAATGTTTCTTTACATTCCTTCGTGTGTTGTTTTTTTTTTTTTTTGGGCTGTTAATACATATATATATATATATATATATAAATATATATCATCATCATCATGTCCCTTAGTCCTTGGACCGTTGGGGCGCCACAGATGACATGTGAACCATCCTCCTCCATTCGTCTCTGTCTTCTGCACTACGCACTGCATCGCCCAGTGTTAGTCCTGTCCACTCTTTGATGTTATCCTCCCATCTTTTTTCTTTGTCTTCCTCTTCTTCTCCCTCCTCTTGTGGTGCCCTGCAATATTTCTTTGGCAAGCCCTTGTTTCCTTGTTATGTGGCCGTACCATTGTAGTTTGCGTTTTTATAAATACATATTTGAGAGTGGATGGTGGAAGATAACAAGTTCGTTTTCATTTGATTTAATCATCCACGCTAAAGAAGAATTAGCTATCCTCAAGGCGTTGCGAAATTTGTGTATTTAGTCATTGAGAAAGATCAACCTACCTCATAAAATTTGAGCTCAAACCCATTTATTAACATCTTTTAAAGAAACGTTCTGACGAGTTGGAGCTGAGAACATTCTCCCCCCTAAATAAAAAGCTTTTCTTTAAACAACTCATGTCGACCACCGAGACTGACACATTTTTTGTTGTTGTTAAGTTAAAGGAAAGTTCAACATATTGTTCTATTCATGATCGGTTGTGTTTCAACTTGTTATTACACTCAAAATCAGATTTAATCCACTCAAGCAGGGGTTCTTAACTATTTTTTGTTTATAGACCCCTTCGCAAATACGAAGAGCGCCGCGGATCCCTTCTTAGAATAAATAAATTTAAATACGTGTTACAAATTTACAGTGGAAAGACAGCTGGCGGAACTGTTGATACATGTTCTCGCGCACCACGGGCTGGGAACCGCTCCGTGGAAAAAAAATTCAATTTTAAATTTAAATTGAAGGATTGCTGTTGTACGGTAAAGCTATCATTGAAACGTTGGATTAATGTATACATTAAAATGAGGCTAGGCGTAGCCTGATAGTTATGACTGCACATCTATTATTTCTACACATTTTATCTCTAATGATATAAAAAAATTAATTTAATTTTCTTTTTCCCTTAATCTTTCTGACCCATACATTCATGATGAGCAATGGTTTATTGATCTTATTCGTCTTAGCAGAATGGAAAAAAAAAAACCCATGGTGAAAGATCAATTAAAATCCCTCGAAACCCATTGCCCGTGAACTACATCAATATTCTTCTAGCCTTGTTAAGCTTCTTAGAGTTCATCATCAACTACATTTTAAGATTAATTACCGACTTGTAAAAACACTGTTAAAACCATTCACCTGACAAGTCATTACTGCAGTTGAACGCTGAGTTTATTGGAGTTGAACGCTGGGCCTGACTGTGAGTTTATTGGAGTTGAACGCTGGGCCTGACTGTGAGTTTATTGGAGTTGAGTGCTGGGCCTGACTGTGAGTTTATTGGACTTGAGTGCTGGGCCTGACTGTGAGTTTATTGAAGTTGAACGCTGGGCCTGTCTGTGAATTTATTGGAGTTGAACGCTGGGCCTGTCTGTGAGTTTATTGGAGTTGAACGCTGGGCCTGTCTGTGAGTTTATTGGAGTTGAACGCTGGGCCTGTCTGTGAGTTTATTGGAGTTGAACGCTGGGCCTGTCTGTGAATTTATTGGAGTTGAACGCTGGGCCTGTCTGTGAGTTTATTGGAGTTGAACGCTGGGCCTGACTGTGAGTTTATTGGAGTTGAACGCTGGGCCTGACTGTGAGTTGGCGGAGAGAACCAGCCGTGTCATTGTTTGTGTGTTCCAAGCATGGAAATGTGTATGATTATATCGAGTTTAAACAGTCTAAGTACACATGGGATACAAATAACAAAACTAACGCTAATTTAGACAACCTTTGGAACAGCATTGTTTTGGTCAAAATTTAATTGCGTTCCTTTTAAAAGCTTTGTTTAAAATACATACAAAATTATTGTTAGCCTAAGAAACAACTCTTTAAACATCGTTGCGTTTTCAGAATATACATTGGCGATCCATTAAAATTTAAAATTTTGTTAAAAATTCATTTCGTAGAAAATTATGAGTTTCGATCTCAAATAGTTCATTTTATTTAAAAATATCTGTCAATTCTGTTGGTATTTTTATTCAAATTAATATTACTAATTTGAAAAATTGCAAGGTGAAACATTAATGAAAATGTTTACAGTTCACAAAAAAAAAATTGATTTAACTAGACCTAAGCGGTGTATTTTTGTTTGTGCTTGTTGTACTTCTTTGTTACAAGACGTTTTTGGCTATGCTAGCGGGGCCCTCACCGTCTTTGCTATTGAGCTGATGTCAAGCTTACATTTGATAACATATTTTTTTTTTAAAAGGCTGTTTAAAAAAAAACAGACTTTCTATCACAGACAATTGTAAACGAACGCAATAAAAAGTAGAAAATAATTACGCCTCCCTGCCCATCCTTCTTCCGCCGTTCACTGAACGAAGCAGACGCGATGAATCACAATCAACTGAGCGAAAGAGTCGCGTGTGCCAACAAAGACAAATTGGGATGGACATAGAAGAGGGAAATGCGTGTAGAAAGAAGGTCGTCTTGAATTACAAGTTTGAATGTTTATCGGCAGTCATTCAGTCAGTGTTTGTAAAATGCGGTCAGTGTTTGTAAACTACAGTCAGTGTTTGTAAAATGCAGTCAGTGTTTGTAAAATGCGGTCAGTGTTTGTAAAATGCAGTCAGTGTTTGTAAAATACAGTCAGTGTTTGTAAAATACAGTCAGTGTTTGTAAAATACAGTCAGTGTTTGTAAAATACAGTCAGTGTTTGTAAAATGCAGTCAGTGTTTGTAAAATGCGGTCAGTGTTTGTAAAATGCGGTCAGTGTTTGTAAAATGAGGTCAGTTTTTGTAAAATGCAGTCACTGTTTGTTGTTGTTGCTTAGTTGCATTCAGTAGTATTGGAGACCTCCATGTAGTAGAGCTAGAGTAGTGCTCTGAATTCTCAGAAGGGGAAAAAAAATACATGTAAATGATAAACTTTTATAGAAACACATTTTGTATGGCTTCATAAAAATAAATGAAGCTTTCACTCAACCTTAGTTATGTATCTATTCCAAACATACCGTGCTAAAAACTCCTCCTTTAAAACCATTTTTGCCCCCCCCCCCAACCGAGGCACGTGCTGCGTCTGCTCGAGTATTTATTACGCCTGTGGGTCAGACGTCCAGCTGTCAATCACTGTATTGATCTCCCTACCTGCCCCATTATAGAAACACATTTTGTATGGCTTCATAAAAATAAATGAAGCTTTCACTCAACCTTAGTTATGTATCTATTCCAACCATACCGTGCTAAAAACTCCTCCTTTAAAACCATTTTTGCCCCCCCCCCCCAACCGAGGCACGTGCTGCGTCTGCTCGAGTATTTATTACGCCTGTGGGTCAGACGTCCAGCTGTCAATCACTGTATTGATCTCCCTACCTGCCCCATATGTTTTTTTGTTGTTTTTTTTTTGTTATTGTTTTATGTGGCAGGCCGGAATTTTCCTGACTGATAATTACCGGAGGACATCTCTTACGGCTCCTGCATCAGACGGAAGAAACATTGCCCGCAGACATTGTGCCCGCTATTATCTGGCAGTTTCGGTTCAGGGCGCAAGGACACAGAGGTTGGGGGGGGGGAGGGGGAGGCGTAGAGGTAAATGGGAGTGATTTTCAGCTATTTCTATAAATGCAGCCTACTCATGACGTAGATAACGTATGACGATAAAAGAGTAGGATTTTTTTTAGACAAACAATAATAGTCCATCTGATTTGACACAGTTTTTAAACTTACTCTTAATATATTTTTTCCCCAAGCTGATCGACAACAGTTGACGTACATGGACACTTCTTGTTCACTTAATTATACAATCCACGTAAATGGACACTTCCGGTTCACTTAATTATACTATCCATGTATAAGATCACTTCCGGTTCACTTAATTATAGAATCCACGTAAATGTACATTTCCGGTTCACTTAATTATACGGTCCATGTAAATAGACACTTCCGGTTCACTTAATTATACTATCCATGTACATGGACACTTCCGGTCCACTTAATTATACGGTACATGTAAATAGACACTTCCGGTCCACTTAATTATACGGTACATGTAAATAGACACTTCCGGTTCACTTAATTATACTATCCATGTAAATGGACACTTCCGGTTCACTTTATTATACTATCCATGTAAATGGACACTTCCGGTTCACTTAATTATGCTATCCGTGTATATGGACACTTCCGGTTCACTTAATTATACGGTCCATGTAAATAGACACTTCCGGTTCACTTAATTATACTATCCATGTACATGGACACTTCCGTTTCACTTAATTATACGGTACATGTAAAAAGACACTTCCGTTCACTTAATTATACTATCCATGTACATGGACACTTCAGGTTCCCCATCCTGAGTTGCAAGTTGCAATGCAATCTCTTTTATCTTTATCGCGCGTTTTCTCTGTTAATTTACGCATTTCTTTCCAGTCTCCTGGTCTGATCTGCTTGTGCAGTTTGTACGGTGGCGATTACCGTCTCCACTCAAGTCTCACGTCTCTTATGCTAAAAACAAACCAAAAAAACAACGTTATTTGTGACAGTTTTACGTGAGCTTTGGATTGTCTGAATAACATTAATGACACGCGTGCTTCTCGCGGTCAACTGAAGCAATCTTACGTCCAATAATACAAGCAAGAGAAAGTCAAGGAATACTTCTTTTTTTAAATAATACGTCCAGACAAAAAGAAAAGGGCGTCAATGACAGGGGCCTGGCCAATGACAGCATATGACAATTATAGTTTAATTAAGACTTTAACGGAGTCAGTTGAGAACATGACATTTCGATGACGGTAAAAAGGAATTGAGGATGAAGCGTTTGTTTGTTTGTTTGTTGATTTGTTGTTGTTGTTGTTGGTTTGTTTGTTGTTGTTTTTTTTTTGTTTTTTTTTTGGGGGGGGGGATTATAATTAGGCCTCACTTTCTTGTATACGATGCCTGTTTTTTTATTTCCTTTCCCACGTTCCCATTGGCGTTAGTGTTCTTTTTAAGAATCTCTTGTCTACGCCAATGTATACGACTCTATAAAATAGTATAGTATAAATAATTATTTATTTATTATTTATTTACATAGTTTAACTGACTGTCATGTGTTGCAGACATTATGGGGTTGTTGTTGTTTCTTTTCTCATCGTTCCTTTCTCCGAAGCGTTGTGACCTTATTGCATGTATATTTGTCAGGGACATGGTAAGGCGAAACTTGATGGACAAACAGCATCTGTTGGAGTCCACGGTACAGAAGTACAGGTCGGAGCTGGCATCAGCGACGTCCACCATTGCAGGGAAGGACATTCTCATCGCGAGGCTGCAAAGTGCGGTGAGCTGACATGGGGTCTGCAGGGGAGGTTACTTTCATTGGTCGAACTAGTGCCCATCACGAGACGTTCGTGGTTGTGGCACGCTTCGTGGTACTGTGGTACTGAGTCATGACCTTCTGGGATTTTTTTTTTTTAAACTGTGAAGCACCGTAGATGGCAATGTCAATTGAAATTGTATCTGCAGGAACATTTGTTTTATTCTGAGAGAGAGAGAGAGAGAGAGAGAGAGAGAGAGAGAAAGGCAGACACACAGACAGATGTGTGTGTATATATATATATATATATATATATATATATATGTATGTATATAGAGAGAGAGAGAGAGAGAGAGAGAGAGAGAGGGAGTTGTTTTTTTAGAGAGAGAGAGAGAGAGAGAGAGAGAGAGAGAGAGAGAGACAGACACACAGAGAGATGTGTGTGTATATATATATATATATATATATATATATATGTATGTATATACAGAGAGAGAGAGAAAGAGAGAGAGAGGGAGGGAGTTGTTTTTTTTGTTGTCAGAGACGGTTAACATCTTTAGCAATCTATATTGACCTATTGTCTAGTTGTTTCTATGCTGACAACATACATTATTTTCATAGGCCTTTTTTAAAACAAGAAAACATCTCAAACTGTATAAAGATAAACTAATTTTTTTTACATTTTATTTCCGGAAAAGGTCAGTCGAGGATGCATCACAATGTACTTTTTTATTTGTAAAAAGTCCCACTAGATCTAATTCTAATTTAAAACTGCGTGTCGGCTAACTGTCGGGATTTAACATGGCTCACTTTGGTCCAGTCGAGCAAATAGAAACAAGAAGCATTAAGAACAGTTTTTACGTGCTTGAACACTTAGACCACATATACAAGCTCTGTAACGTGCGGAGAGGCGGCATTCGGGTCCTGGAACCCAGGCAGATCGTCGCGAGACTTTTTGAAGAAAAAAAAAGGGGATGTAGACTGCCGTCATGTCAATAACAGTGAACTCACAAAGACGTCCGTACATGTCAACACCAGTGAACTCACAAAGACGTCCAGACATGTCAATACCAGTGATTTCAATTTTTTTTTCCCATTCCAACTTTCGGGCACTTTGAAAAAAACGCCCCCCCCCCCCCCCCCCCACGCCCCCGGACCTTCCCTACAGTCGCTGGGGCTCCAGGGGTCCCACGGGACGACTCTGAACCCAGAGTTAAAACTCACCCAAATATCGATATTGTATATTTTTGTAACAGCCAAACTGACCAATGATGGGTGTTGTTTCCCACTGATTTTATTTCAGGCCATTCAGCACGAGGAAGAGCTCGCCAACAAAGACAAACGGATCAAACAGCTCGAGACCAAGCTGGCGCTCACCGTCTCGGAGGCCAGGAACCTCGCTGACCAGCTGACCAACCACTCGTACAGGGACATGCTCGGCTCCACCAACTACAGCCGGGGGGAGCACTCGGGTGACTACAACGGTGTGTTCGTCGCCCGCCGCCCAAGCCAGGAGCTCATCCCGGAGCACGCCCGGGGCTCGTACCGCAGCTCCATGTACCGGCGACCGTCCAACAACGCCGGAAGTGACCAGGGGGAGGAGTACAAGCCCGTCATCACCGCGGCGCTGGACCACGACGCCGAACAGTTCCGGAACGGGTCTCGGATTGTGCGGAAGCGGAACAGCCTCAGCGACAACGCCATCTCTCGCCTGACGCTGTCCACACCACGCTCTGATGACAAGTATGGGAGGGGCAGCAGCGCGTGCACGGTTCAGTGAAGGCCACAACTTTATAACACAAACACACACGCGCGCAATTTTTGTCGTTTAGTCCAAATAACTCGAAACCAACAATGTTGACTCGATTCGGTTAGAGGTGCGGCTAGGTATCGATATATAATGGAATCGGCTGGACCCCTTGTTCTAAATCTCGTGGAACATTTTCGTAGCGTGTAATATACACATCATATAACTACCTGGTTGATTCAGGGCTAGACAATTTACCTTACACCTCTTACATGACTTTTACGCGTAAGAAATACTAGAAATGCCCCCCTTCGTCAAATTATTGTTGCTGATATAAGCTGCTTTTATTAATAATTGTTAACTTAATCATTAACAATGCATTAGTACGTGTGCCACGAATACAGAATGCAACGTGTAATTGCATTGTGATATGTGTAATTTTGGATACTTTAACTTTGATATGTTCTGTTTTATGGAATCCATTACTGAATACATAATGGCATTGGGGGGGAGGTGGGGGGGGGGGTTAGCAAAGCTCGGTTGTGACGAACGTCACATCCTTTGTTCCTATGTTTAAAACGTCACATCTGGCGTTAGACGTGACGCATGTATATAACGTTATAAACAAAGATGATTAAATCGCATTTGTTTTGCTTCGTTCACTTGGTTTTTGTGTGGATAATGTACGATTTTACTGGTTGTTGGTAGAGATTTTTATAATGATTCAATCAGTTGCATCGAATATTGTAGTGCTTTATTTGGCAAGTGATGGAGAGGTGGATGTGTAGTGCTAAAATATTTGTTTTTGGATCGATTTAGTGGATTTGATTGATTTGGACTGATTTGGCTGATGACTGAATCGGTGGGTTTGGTTGTTAATCGAGAGCCCGTGAGCTATACCGAAAAAAAAATGCAACAACCCAGCAGGAAAAGGGATCGATGGTGACTGTTAAAGCCAAAGAACCAGAGCCTCGTCGCACTGGTGAGAACTGAACACAGTCCTCCCTCGAAGTCATTTGAACAGATTACATCCTCTTCGGGGCCCCGAACTGCCGTCCTTGCAGACAGGCGCTGGAGACGGTGGTGCCCTTACTAGCCGAGTGCCCAGCACTAATGAGAGGATGCGGTTTGGGGAACAACCCAGACATCCACACCCACATTACCACACCCACCGATTCAGTCATCCCTGATATACGGCGACGCCCAGAAGAAGCGGCAGGCCTGTAGAGTGTGTACCATATGGCCATAAAAGAGCAATAGCTCGGTCCCATAAAGAGAATGTGATAATTCAAGGTGTTAATTCATTCGATGAATGCATGTTGTTTAAGTGTAACGGATGAATGCATGTGGTTGACTGAGTGAGTGAACGCATTTAGTAGTTGGTCGGATGTTCGTTGTGTTCGAGTCATAAAATGAATGTTTGTGTGGATGACTGCGTAAAACAACTGAGAAACTGTGTGTAGAATATATGTCGCAAGTTATATTATGTTGAGAAAAAACACACTTGGGGTGGGCATTGATGTGTTATAAAGCTCTTCCCCCAAGATACAATAGAAGAACTGCTAACGATAGCTCCACGGTGTGTCACACTGATAACAAGTCTACAGGACATCGCTCACTGATAACACTGTGCCTACGAGACGGTTCATCTACTAACACTGTGCCTACGAGACGGCTCATCTGATAACACTGTGCCTACGAGACGGCTCATCTGATAACACTGTGCCTACGAGACTGCTCATCTACTAACACTGTGCCTACGAGACGGCTCAGCTGATAACACTGTGCCTACGAGACGGCTCATCTACTAACACTGTGCCTACGAGACGGCTCAGCTGATAACACTGTGCCTACGAGACGGCTCATCTGATAACACTATGCCTACGAGACGGCTCATCTGATAACACTGTGCCTACGAGACGGCTCATCTGATAACACTGTGCCTACGAGACGGCTCATGCAAGTTCAAGTTCTATCGTGCCTCTGATCAGCCGTTCGTCGGTCTGGTTGAAATGAAATGTGCTTTTGTGTTCAGGGAAGAATTGCCTGCGGCTTGTGGAGAGATCGCTTGGTGGATCATTTCTCCCCCACCCCCCCCCTACACACACACACATTCAGGGAAGAATTGCCTGCGGCTTGTGGAGAGATCGCTTGGTGGATCATTTCTCCCCCACCCCCCCCCCCACACACACACACGCACAACAATAATATGGATGCACTATAGCTGGCTTAATATTTCATGCATATCCTCCACTCATTATATATGGTGCTCTTCAATGCTTATGTAGACGTCAGGAGAGGACTGGGCCAAGCCCAAGTGACTATCTAAAGTTCTCTGTGTAATTATTTTAAGTGATAGATTTTTAGTATAAAGCTTTAAAAATATAGGCATTAAAGGGCACAATTTGTTCAGTAAATATTGCCTAGATATGCCTAGGTATGCCTATATATGCATAGATATGCCTAGGTATGCCTCTATATGCCTAGATTTGCCTAGGTATGCCTATATATGCCTAGATATGCCTAGGTATGCCGAGATATGTCTAGATATGCCTAGATATGCCTGGATATGCCTAGGTTTGCCTAGATATGCCTAGATATGCCTAGATATGCCTAGGTATGCCTAGATATGCCTAGATATGCCTATATATACAGTTTTCTATTGGAATATAAAATAGTAAATAGCTAATGCTTAACTTTTCCCTGAGCAACATAATGCAGTGAACTGTGACGGGAGCAGCTGATTGCTAGAGTTAGAAGCTGCGTTCCATGGTCGCTGCGTCAAGCGCGAGTCGGCGCACAAGTGGGCTGACATCTTTGTACGCTTTTAAACTTCAATAACTATATAGACATATTCTAGAAATTTTGAGGCATGTATCAAATCTGGATCACGTTTGGGGGAAAAAAAACAAGAAAATAATGCGTGTTCACTTTCGTGTCATGAGTTACTGTTCATATTCATACGCGTGATACATAGTTCTGTATTGAAGAACTTCGAGGTCTGTGTCACTGAGATTCTCTAAAGTGCTGTCAGTGGTTATGCTACGTATATTTAACAAACACCCTCCCACACACACACACATACACACACATACACACAACGGCAAAGAAACAAGCGCTTCCACACCTCTCATAGAGCTTTCTTGCCATACCCCCCACCCTCTTCCCCACCCTCTACCCCTCCGGCTACCTCACTCCGTACCCTCCACCAGACCTCTGCGCCATAAATTAAAACGATTATCGATACTGTCCCTAGATATCGCATGCCACTGCCTGCAAACACTTAAGTTTATTGGGCGTCCCCCATGCACCAGGCCATATGGAGCTGACAATCAACACAGAGTATTGCTCTCTGATGTTTGCGACCGTCAACCGTTGCTATGCGTTCTTTTGAAAAAAAAATTTTACAAGGCTACATACTATGGTATTTTGAAAGGAAACAAGTTAAATGTTTGGATATAATACACTTGGGATTTAGTTTTTTTATATATATAAAAAGAAAGATTACAAAAAAAGTGTTATGAATTATACGTTTTTTTTTATGGCATTTATGCCTTCAGCATGTTTGCAATTTTTAAAAAATCAAATATCGACATGGAAGAAAGACATAATAAACACCAAACTAATATCTGCTTTACTTCACTGCCATGACAAACATCTGTTTGCATTTTTATCCTCTAAAAACATTGTCCCTTATCCCGTCTCGGACTATTTCTCTGAAATATTTTAAATGAAAGAGTCGCGTCAACATGTAGCTTAAACACTCTCATGCAAACGTCTTTCAAGAACGGCTCACTGTTAAAAGGCCATCCAAATAAGTACGTACTATATTATTGTAATTACTACATGGATGGCCCCTAAGGGTTAATCTTCCTTAAAATTAAATCTAAGAATATTTTTTTTTCTATATTTCAGTTCATTCAAATAAATATGTTATTTTATAAATATAATTTTATTTTTAAAAAAGGAGGACGCCATTAGTTATGTCAAATTTAAAACATTTGAAAAAAAAAAAATACCATTTTTGTCTTTCTTATTTCAGTCCCGTGGAGAAAAAAAAATGTTGGCAGTTGTGCAGTGGCGTAGCGAGAGTGTTTGGCGCCCGGGGACAAGATTCGCGCCCAGGGACAAGATTCATTTTAAAGCGCCCTCTTTTCTTTTTTCAACCCTCAAACCCATTATGTTCACCAATAAAATAATATCAAAGCACATTTTGGCGCCCCTAACTAGCTGGCCCGTCGACATATGTCCCCCCCTTCGCTACGCCTCTGTCATTTACATAGAACAAAAGAGGATATCAAAAGAGGGCCATATATATTTCAGAATGTTAACAATCAGGGTGAAAATGATCATTATCATAAGAGTCACGACTACGGGGGCTTGGAGGCTTTCAGAATTCAAGAGTTGGAAGTTTTTTTTTGTTGTTGTTTTTTTCGAGGGGGTGGGGTGGTTCTGTCAAAGTTAGAGAGTTGAACTTGGTTAAAATGGATCACAATTCCACTGTGGACCAAACAAGGTGGATGAAAGACTGTTAACGAAATTCAATTTCGTTCTTCATTTTACACTTTTTCACTTTGAAGGTTTTTATTTTTAAAATGCTTGACCTCATAAGCAGACCATGTCAAGCTTTGGGGGCAACAGATCACGCAATTGCCCACTCCAGACCCCTTGAGATAACCCTACCATTTCAATAAGCAACCCTCCCCCCTTCCAATGCCATAATTTACCAGAACCCAGCCACTGTTTGCTCGTGGCATTTTGTTTTAATCGTCATCATCC